GTGTAAGGAATTTCCATTCCTTACTGAGTCGTACGCTAGCGCGTACACCCGAACTCCTCGACTCGTCACGTTCGGCCTCATTTGTCGGTCCAACCCTTTCCCGCGCCGCGTCTGGCACTATCGCCACATTGCCGAACCTACCCACGTTCCGAGGTTATCGCCCTAGCACGCCAACTGTCAACCTACACATACATTTGCATGTAGAAGTTATGGGCTAGAATAGGTGTGTGTTCTTAGAGAGTACAACCCAAACCCTATATCTCCCTTGATCTCACTTTCTAATCATTCTAGTCTTCTAGCATGGTATCATGAGTAGGTTAGGTCCACCCACCCGCTTCCGCCCAGCGCCCTAGCCTACCGCGCCTCGCTGGCCCCTCGCGCCCAGCTGTCCTCTCGTGCCCAGCCGGCCCCTCTCGCGCCTCGTCGGCCCCTCACGCCCAGCCGGCCCCTCGCGCCTCGCCGGCCCCTTCACACCCAGCCTGCCCCTCTCTCGTCGTACCCGGCCCCTCGTGTCGTAGCCGGCCCCTCGCGCCTAGCCGGTCTCTTCGCAGCCAGCCGGCCCCCTCTCTCGCCATAGCCGGCCCCCCGCGCCTAGCCGGCCCCTCTTGCCTAGGTGGCCCCCCTTCGTGCCTCGCCGGCCCCTCTCGCACCGTAGCCGGCCCCTCGCACGTAGCCGACCCCTCTTGCCTAGCCGGCCCCTCGCGCCATAGCCAGCCCCCCGCGCCTAGCCGGCCCCTTGCGCTTAGCCGGCCCCTCTCGCCTAGCCGACCCTCTTCGCGCCCAGTCGGCCCCTCCCGTGCCGTAGCCAGCTCCTCGCGCCTAGCTGGCCCCCCCTCGCCTAGCCGGCCCCTCGCGCCTAGCCGGCCCCTCGCGCCTAGCTGGTCCCTCTCGCCTAGCCGGCCCCTCTCACCTAGTCGGTCCCTCACGCCTATTTGGCACCTACCGCCTAGCCGGCCCCTCCTGCGCACCGCCGGCCCCACGCGCCTTCCCGGCTCCTCTCTATGCGCTGGCCCCTCCCGCACCTGCCCCCCCTCTCACGCGTCTGGCCGGCCCCTTGTGCACCTCAGCCCCTTACACGTCCACTGGCTCCTCACGCGCCCACCGGCCCTCTTGCGCACTCCTTGGCCTTCCGCCCGGTCTCCGTTCCGGAGAGTCCTGCCACCACGCCGCTGCACCGCCGTGCAGCTGAGTACCCGTGTCCCTGTACTGCTGTGCCGCTGTGTCCCGGTGCCGCTGAGGGTTACGCGATGGCGGACGCCATGCTACGCCTGGACGCGGAGGGGCACGCGATCGACTTTGCCGCCTGGCTTGTCGATCTTCGGTGGCACCTGACAGGTCAGCGCTAGGATGGACACTCCCTGGCTATGCATGTTCATGGCTTGCTCCCCCGCCCCCCCACGCCTGATCCCCTCCTTGCTAACCCCACCTCTGCTGAGAGTGAGGCCTTTGCTGCTGCTGCGCTGTCTGGGATTCTCGCGATGCTATAGCGCAGCTTGCCATTAGTCATGCGCCTCCCCTATCTGAGCATCCCTAATTCATTGTTGTAGCAAATGCCAAAGACTTCCTAGATGCAGTAGTTGCACACTACTCCACGCCTGCCTCTGCCTCAGCTGGACACTTGATCCTCCCCATTCTCTTCCCCGACCTCTGGTTTCCCCACTGTCGCTGATCTCGCCACTCACCTCCGTGCACTAGAGACTAGCTACCGCGCTGCTAGCACTGCCGCCCAGCTCACTGCTTTCCCCCCACCGTTCTGTGCTACCCTGCACCTTATTGCCATGCACTTGCTTGACCGTTTAGCCACTGCCCAAGACCACTTCCTTAGCCAGCACCCAGGAGACCTCACCCTGACTGCCTTTGTCACTGCCCTGTCCGAGATAAAGCCTCGCCAGCGCACTATCGCTCAGTCGAGCGGTGTTGCGGCAATCCCTATCTTTCAGAGATGTGCTCCCTCCCTGTGCACGTACGCTGACGTTTCCGCCGCGGTCGCTACGGCTGCCCCGGCCACTGAGACTGCTGCTGCGGCCTTCCGGTGGCAGCGACAGCGTAGGGGCCGCCGCGGGCCCAAGGGAGGGTGTGCTGGTGGCGCTGGTGGTAGTAGTGGTGGTGGCGGGGACAGTGGTTTGGACGAGGGGGTTGGGGCTGGTGTCTAGGAGCAGCAGCAGACGCAGCAGCAGCAGTCGCCACAGCAGCAGCAGCAGTCGCCACAGCAGCAGCAGCAGCAGCAGCAGCCGCAGCAACAGCACTCATGGGCCCACCTCCTGCCGGGGTGGCCAGGAGCCCCAGGAGGTGGTGGTCGCGGTGGCGGCCCCCGCAGCTCGGCGTCTACCAGCGGCTTCAGTGGTGTGAGCTGCCGGTACCAGCTCCAAACCGGGCCCCTTTGTGGCACTGTGTGCCTCCACCCGCACCCGACCGCTCGCTGCTTCCGCCGCCTCGACGACCTCTTCTATCGCCGCTTCAGCAAGGGCCCGGACCTCCCCGAATGGCCCAGTCTGCTCCGTCACGAAATGCCTATATTTGACTTAGACATGGATCAGATTAGTTCTGCCCTGCATTCTCTGTATGGTGACACTTCTAGTGTGTCCGGATCTTGTTACCTTGTGTTCTCTAGCTTAGGCGTAGCACCTGTCTGTAGTACAGACTTCCCTGCTGCGTTAGGCGTAGGACCGTTTGCTTTGTCTAGCCTAGGCTCTACCCTTGCTCCTCCTTCGTGTGCGACTTCTGTTTCACTGTCATTCACGCTCGACTCTGGTGCGTCTGCCTGCTTCTTCTGCGACCCCACCACTCTCACGCCACTCGCTGCCCCTGCCTCTGTCGCCCTTGCTGACCCCTCTTCTGGTCCTGTCGTTGCTCGCAGCTCCACTACCCTTCCCTGACCAACGGCCCCTCGGGTTCCCTTACAGGCCTGCACATCCCTCGTTCTCTAGGAACTTAGTTGGTATCGGCTGTCTTCAGGACCTCGGTGTCACCACTACGTTCCCTGGTTACGAGCGGTATGCCGTCTGTACCGAGGCCGCCTTAGGTGCCCCCCTTGCGACGTTCCCCCGGGATCCGGTGTCTGGCATGTTTACGCTGGACACTGCTTCCCCCCCGGTGGGCGCGTCCTCCCCGGGTCCTACGTCTACCCAGGTCGCTGCGGCCTGATCGTGTCGGTCGCTCACTCACCCGTCGCTTCTGTGGCACCATTGCCTAGGTCACCCCGCACTCCCGCGTCTGCGTCACATGTCTCAGCACGGTCTAGTCTTAGGTCTCCATACGTCACTTCCTGCCCTCCCTCCCTCGCCTACGCTGCCGTGCATGCCCTGCGTCGAGGGCCGGCTGCGCCGTGCTCCTCACTCTTCCTCGCTTTGCCTTGCCATCGCACCCCTCCAGATCCTGCACCTGGACGTCTGGGGCCCAGCCCCTGTCCCTGGACCGGGTCGCGAGCGCTACTTTCTCGTGCTCGTCAACGACTTCACGCGCTACACCACGGTGTTTCCCCTGGAGTGGAAGGCTGACGTGCCTGACGTTCTTATCCCGTGGGCCATAGCTACGCGCCTCCACCGCGGTCTCCCTGTGCTGTGTCTCCACTCTGACCGTGGCGGCGAGTTCGCCTCTGGTCGACTTGGACAGTTCTGTCGTGCGGAGGGCATCACCCAGTCGTGCGGAGGGCATCACCCAGTCGTACACTCTACCGGAATCCCCGCAGCAGAATGGGGTCGCTGAACGACGCATCGGCTTGGACATGGAGGTAGCTCGTACCTCCATGATTCATGCCGGTGCACCCCATTTTCTGTGGCCGTTCGCCGTTCGCTACGCCGCTCACCAGCTTAACCTGTGGCCGCGCTCCCAGCGGCCGCAGGTTTCGCCGACCCTTCTTTGGACCGGGTTCCCTGGTGACGCGTCCGCGTTCCACGTCTGGGGCTGCCTTGCTCACGTTCGTGCCTATGGCACGGACAAGCTCATTGCCCGCACTGTCCCCTGTGTCTTCCCCGGTTTCCCCCTTGACTCGCCCGACTGGCACTTGGTTCACGTGCCATCTCGTGGAGGGCCACTCGCTCCTTGGCTGTTGCCCAGTCTAGCTCTGAGGTTGAGATCTATGCCGGTGCCATGGCGGCAGAGGAGCTCCGCTGGCTGACTTTCTTGCTCACCGACTTAGGTGAGCGGCCTAGCTCTGCCCCTGTTCTGTACGCACACAACAGGGCCATGATCCTCCTGTGTCAGGAGCCTCGACTTGAGGGCAGAGCGAAGCACATCCAGCTGCGGTACTTCCTCCTGCACGAGCTACAGCAGCATCGCCATGTCCGCGTAGTACACTTGGCCTCCAGTGCCAACACAGCTGATATCTTTACTAAGGCGCTTGCGCCTAGAGATCATCAGCGGCACTGTTTGCAGCTTGGTCTAGTGCCTGTAGACTCTCACTTGCTAGGACCTTGATTGTGTACTCCTCTTTATATATATCTTTCAGACTGGCCTTGTGGCTTCTCTTCCAGTGGCTGGAGTAGTGTTGCCGCCTTGGTTTGCTCCTATATCATTTATACTCTTGCTGACTGGTCTTCGGACCCCTGCTTCAGAGGTCGGACTAGTAGTGTCACCCTGAGCTGTGTGCTTCTTGCTCAGCACTACCCCTTATCTACCCTAGGGGGTGTGTCAACTTTTTCATACATTTGCATATAGAAGTTATAGGTTAGAATAGGTGTGTGTTCTTAGAGAGTACAACCCAAGCCCTATATCTCCCTTGTTCTCTCTTCTTTCTAATCATTTCAATATTCTAACACCAACCCCTATATAGCATCGTGCCTTCATTGCAATAGCTACCTTGTATTCTCACGTTATATTTCATTCACACTTTCTATATCATAACAAGTAAGAACACCTGATGTACCGCGCCCTAATGTTTGGATGCGTAACACCAAACGGTACCGCGCAATACCGCTCTGTGCCGAACCAGGTCCTGATGGCGAACTGCCTCCTAGGAACCTCTGTTTGGGAACGTATCATAAGACTGATCTGCTCCTGCAGCAATTAGTAGTCAGTGTCCAGCAAGGCTGGGCCGAGCATGATCGACTTTTGTTACGTCTGTCAAGATAAGCCTGTTCGCTTGCCGATTAACTTCCAGTCAAACCGAACTCCTCTTCTGGTCTCGTAGCTCGTCGCATTGGATCTGGTAACTTCGCGAACTCTTCGTCACGCTCGTTATCAACAGACACCTTTCCCAGCTTAAACCTATTCTTCCTCTAGCCGTCGGCGCTCCTACTTAGGGTTTTCTTGGCGGTTATAGCGCCTCGACTCCGTTATTTCTGCCCGCAGACTCAACAGCAGGGGGGGAAGTTCCACATACCGGGTGTTTTTTAGAATTCTAAAAAAACTCTGCACAACCATACCGCTTGCGAAATTCACGTCTACGAGTGTTGGTTCCGCATACGATTTCAACGTGCATCACAGTTTCAGCGCGCGTCGCAGCGTGTGTCTCAGGTGGTGTCAAATCCGGCTCCACACCGTTTGCGCGGCTCCCACGTACCGTTTGCGGAGGGTCGGGTCCCACGCACGGTCCCCCTTACGCTTTCAACGCGCCTCGCTGTGCGGAGGAGGATGGAGCTGGAAGAAGCGGCTCGGGAGCGGAAGGAGCGGTTGCGGGCGTTACGAGAAGCGGCGTCGATCGTCACAACTGACGGCGAGAAAACGGCTAGCCTGCTAACAGACGGCGACGATGGAAAGTGCGACCACCATGGGGGTTGGAACGGGGGGGGTAGAGGGAAAAGGGGGGGGAAGGGGTGGAGGGGGTCGGGGATGGGGGGGGGGGGAGGGGGGGGAGGTGGGGGGGGGGGGCGGGGAGGGGGGGGGGAGGGGAGACCAGAGGTGTGGGGAGGGAGAGGGGGGTAAGAGGGGGGAAAGAGGGGGGGAAGGGGAGGGACTGGGGATCAGAATATCTGCGATGATGCACCGCAGATCATGGCTTTAACTTTCTTTTTTGCTTATCATGTTCCGCGCATGTGCGTTAAACCTGCTCCGTGATACTAGTAGCAATATGACAGATCCCCTGTTCAATCAGTACTATTTACCCTGAAACGCCTTTAACCCACTGGCCGTGCAGGGAGAACGAGCCTGCAGCGGAGGTTCGGTTCCGAAGCTACTTGCCTCGGGACGAGCAGCTGATGGAGAGGAAGCTTCCTCCGGCGCCGCTCCCCAAGTTCCAGGAACCCACCGCTTCCGAGCCACTGATTCTTGACCCTAACGAGGTAACGTGCTGGGCTGACAGCAAAACCCCTTACACTCCCCACATTCCAGGAACCCACGGCTGCTGAGCCGCTGATCCTGGACCCTAACGAGGTATGCTGCTCTGCTGTCACGAGACAACCACCTTGCAGTACCCAGTGACAACCATCACTCCCCACAAGCTGGAGAGACGCACGCAGCACGCTGCTCCTCATTACCCTTACCCTCTGTGCGTCCTTGTGCTCCTCATTACCCTTACCCTCTGTGCGTCCTTGTGCTCCTCATTACCCTTACCCTCTGTGCGTCCTTGTGCTCCTCATTACCCTTACCCTCTGTGCGTCCTTGTGCTCCTCATTACCCTTACCCTCTGTGCTTCCTTGTGCTCCTCATTACCCTTACCCTCTGTGCGTCCTTGTGCTCCTCATTACCCTTACCCTCTGTGCTTCCTTGTGCTCCTCATTACCCTTACCCTCTGTGCGTCCTTGTGCTCCTCATTACCCTTACCCTCTGTGCATCCTTGTGCTCCTCATTACCCTTACCCTCTGTGCGTCCTTGTGCTCCTCATTACCCTTACCCTCTGTGCATCCTTGTGCTCCTCATTACCCTTACCCTCTGTGCGTCCTTGTGCTCCTCATTACCCTTACCCACTGTGCTTCCTTGTGCTCCTCATTACCCTTACCCTCTGTACGTCCTTGTGCTCCTCATTACCCTTACCCTCTGTGCTTCCTTGTGCTCCTCATTACCCTTACCCTCTGTGCGTCCTTGTGCTCCTCGCAGGACCCTGTAACGACCATCGCTCCTAGAAAGCCCAATTGGGATCTTCGGCGGGATGTGGCCAAGCGACTAGCAAAGCTGGAGAGACGAACGCAGCGAGCAATGATTGAGCTCATGAGTGCGTACGCTTTTCCTTGCTTTTGTTGTTCCTGCTGCTGTTATTTCTGCTGCTGTTGTTCGCTCTTGGTATTTCGGCTCTTGTTATTACTGCTCTTGTTATTTTGGCTCTTGTTAAATATGTTCTTGTTATTTCTGCTCATCCCTGGTGGTTCTTTTCTCTTGTCGGTGCTCCCATCCCATTGGCTCGCATGTGCCTGTTGTGGGTATGATAGCTATATCGATGCATCGCCCTTGCCGTTTCGTTTTCTCTGTGCGCTGGACCGTGGCTGATGGCAGGGGAAGAGGAAGAGAGGCGGCAGCAACTTGAGTCGGGCATAGAAGGGTCTTGACAGACTGGGTTGGGCAGAGCATCTGGGACCAGGGCTCACTGCGTGACCCAGCCTTGCCATCTCAGGCATCGAAGGGTTTCGACGGAAGTGTTGCGACCGAAGGGTTGCGACAGAAGGGCCTCGAGAGAATGAGCCGGACCGGGCGTAGTGGGGGGACTGGCTGGCTCAAGAGGAGGGCGACAGCAGCAAGAGTCAGGCGTAGAAGGGTCTTGATCAAAGTGGAAAGCTCATCCAGGTTTGTATGTACATGGATGTACCCCTTATTGAGAACACCGACCCCGACTTTCTGGTTTGTCGAACCAGCCTCATTTTGTTACACGAGTAATATCATATTCACACTGTAGATGTACATTACCCAGCTCAATGTAGTATCAATTAGTGCAAACTCTTATACACAGCTAGTGGCCAGTTCTTGGCTGGTACATCAATGTACTGGTACCTGTAACAAAACAAGGATTGACGAAATCGTCTTGGGCGGGCCCTCAGATGGGTTTTGGGGGGGCTGAAGCCTCAGGGTGACCCTGGTGACAACCCATAGTTTTCAGGGTTGGGGTTTGGAAGTGGCATATTTTGTCAGGCCCAATTTTTTTCAAGGCTGACTAGCCAGGCCTACGCTTTGGACTTGTCAAACATGTGTATTTGTCATGTTTGTATAGATTGTATAGGGTTACCTCTTAGAGGGTACAACACTAAGGTATATTTGTGTGTACTCTCACTTTACCAATATTCAATTCTAATTTTGATATGGTATCACGCGTAGGTAGGATCCCCCCCCACCTACAGCTTCCGCTCATCCCCCCTAGCGCCCCTCCTGGGCCCTGTAGCACCCCTCCCAGACCCCGTCGCGCTCCTCCCAGGCCCCGTAGCGCCCCGTCGCGCCCCTCCTGGGCCCCGTAGCGCCCCTCCTGGGCCTCGTCGCGCCCCTCCTGGGCTTCGTAGCGCCCCTCCTGGGCCCCGTAACGCTCCTCCCAGGCCCCGTCGCGCCCCTCCCAGGCCCCCTAGCGCCCCTCCTGGGCCCCGTCGCGCTCCTCCCAGGCCCCGTAGCGCCCCGTCGCGCCCCTCCTGGGCCCCGTAGCGCCCTTCCTGGGCCTCGTCGCGCCCCTCCTGGGCTTCGTAGCGCCCCTCCTGGGCCCTGTAACGCCCCTCCCAGGCCCCGTCGCGCCCCTCCCAGGCCCCGTCGCGCTCCTCCCAGGCCCCCTAGCGCCCCTCCTGGGCCCCGTCGCGCTCCTCCCAGGCCCCGTAGCGCCCTCCCTGGGCCCTGTAGCGCCCCTCCTGGGCCCCGTCGTGTCCGTGCCCGAACCCGTCGCAGCCGCCCGGCCCCGTCGCGCCCGCCCGGCGCCGTCGCACCCGCCCGGCCCCGTCGCGCCCGCCCGGCCCCGTCGCAGCCGCCTGGCCCCGTCGCGCCCGCCCGGCCCCGTCGCAGCCGCCTGGCCACGTCGCCCCTGCCTGGCCCCGTCGCAGCCGCCCGGCCCCGTCGCACCCGCCCGGCCCCGTCGCACCCTGCCCAGCCTCGTCGCAGCCGCCCGGCCCCGTCGCACCGGCCCGGCCCTGCCGCACTTGCCCGGCCCCGTCGCCCCAGCCCAGCCCCGTCGCGCCCGCTCGGCCCCGTCGCCCCGTCCCGGCCCTGTCGCACCAGCCCGGCCCCGTCGGGCCAGCCCCGCCCCCGTCCTCCTCACTGGTACGGTTCCCCCCCCCCCACCCCGCCCTGCTCCATGCCGCCCCGCACCACACTGTACTGCCTGGCACCGCACTACACCGCATTACACCGCACTGCACTGCACTGCACCACACTGCACCGCACTGTACCGCACTGCACCGCACTGCGCCGCACTGCACCGCCCTGTACCGCACTGCACCGTAGTGCACCGCACTGCACCGCACCCCACCTAGCTGCACTGCCCTGCACCGCACTGGACTGTTCCTGATGGCGGCGGAGCTTCGCTTCGACGCTGAAGGTCAGCCCCTAGAGTTCGAGGCGTGGCTTGCCGACCTCCGCCGCCAACTCACTGGCCAGCGGCAGGATGGTGAACCGCTTTCCGCACACCTTGACGGTACGCTCCCCTGCCCAGACCCCCCTGCTATTCTGCCCGCTGACCCCACACCCACTGAGCGTGAGTCTACTGCTGCCACTGCCCGTGCGCGCTCTGTCTGGCTTTCTCGCGATGCTGTCGCCCAGCTTGCCATTAGCAACGCCCTCCCCCCATCCGAGCGTCCTCGCTTTAGGTCCCTCACTACTGCTCAGGCATACTTAGATGCTGTGATCAAGCGCTATTCCACCCCTCCGGCTGCCTCGGTGGGTCGCCTGATCCTTCCGATGCTATTTCCTGACCTTGCATCTTTCCCCACTGTCTCTGACCTCGCTGCCCACCTGCGCTCGATAGATGAGACCTGGCGCGCTGCCTGCACTGACGCCCAGCTTAGAGCCCACCAGCCGCCCATTACCTCTACCCTCTACCTGCTTGCCACCCGCCTCCCTGACCGCCTTGCTGTCGCCCGCGACCGCTTTCTTAGCGTTCACCCCGCAGACCTCACCCTCACTGACTTTGTAGACACCCTGACTGTGATAGAGACCCGTCACCGCTCCATCGCCCAGGCGAGCGGTGTCGTGCCGGTCCCTATCTTTCAGGGTTGTGCCCCCGCTCAGTGCACCTTCTCCGACGGCTCTGCCGCAGTGGCTGAGACTGCTGCTGCAGCGCAGGTCCGTTCGGGGAAGGGCCGCCGCCCCAAGGCTGGGCGCGGCGGAGGAGGCGGCGGGGGTGCGGGCGGAGGTAGTGGTGGGGTCGGGTCGCCTGGTGCTGGAGCGGACGAGGGGACCCTGCCCAGTCCAGCTGAGTCGCCGCCCCTACAGTTGCAGCAGCCGCAGCAGCCGCCGCAGTCGCAGCCTTCGCAGCAGCCGCAGCAGCCGTCGCAGATGCGGCAGACGACTGTCCTCCCGGCAGGGTGGCCCGGCGCTGGCGGTGGCCGGGCGCGTGGTAGTGTGCCGCGTGGTGGCTCTGGCGGCGGGCGTTGTCAGTACCAGATCCAGACCGGTCCTCGCCGCGGCTTCGTTTGCGGTAAGATCGGTCACTCCACTCCCCGCTGTTTTCGTCGCCTGGACGACCTCTTTCGTCAGCGCTTCGGCCCGTCGCCAGACCTCCCGGACTGGCACAGTTTGCTTAGTCGTCAGATTCAGTTTTTTTATATGGACATGGATGCCATTGTTTCCGCTCTGCATGTGATGTATGCTGATGACTCTAGTGTGCTTCCCGCTTATTACTCACTGTTGCCTAGTGTAGGTGTGCCTAGCTTAGCCTCCCCTGCTGCGTCAGGCGTAGGATCCCCTGCTTTGTGTAGTCTTGGTGCTTCCGCCGTCGTTCCGTCACCAGACCCCTCGGCTTCGCTTTCCTTCACCTTGGACTCTGGCGCCTCTCGGTGTTTCTTCCGCGACTCCACCACCCTGACGCCGCTTCCTGTTCCTGCTGCCGTTTCTCTTGCTGACCCCTCCGGCGGTCCGGTAGTCGCCCGCAGTTCCACCACCCTTCCCTGTCCGGCAGTTCCTTCAGGTTCTCTTACAGGTCTGCATATCCCCTCGTTCTCCATGAACCTAGTTGGTGTCGGCTGCCTCCAGGACCTTGGCGTCACCACTACGTTCCCTGGTCACGAGCGGTATGCTGTCTGTACCGAGGCCGCCACTGGTGCCCCCCTGTCCACGTTCCCCCGGGACCCGGTGTCCGGCCTGTTCACTCTGGACACCGTGACCCCCCCGGCTGGAGCGCCCCCTCAGGTGGCTGCGTCTACCCAGGTTGCTGCTGCCTGCTCCTGTCGCTCCCTCACTCACCCGACCCTCCTGTGGCACCACCGCCTAGGTCACCCTGCGCTCCCGCGTCTGCGTCACATGTCCCAGCACGGTCTCGTCCTTAGTCTCCCAGGTTCGCTCCCCGCGTTTCCCTCCTCTCCAGCCCCACCTTGCACGCCTTGTGTCGAGGGTCGGCTTCGCCGTGCCCCTCACTCCTCCTCGTTTCCCCCTACCGCCGCGCCACTGCAGACCCTGCACCTGGACGTCTGGGGCCCCGCCCCCGTCCCTGGGCCGCGTCGAGAGCGCTACTTCCTTGTGCTCGTCGACGACTTCACTCGTTACACCACAGTCTTTCCCCTGGAGCGCAAGGCCGACGTGCCTGGCGCTCTCATCCCCTGGCTTGTCTCTGCGCGTGTCCACCGCGGTCTCCCTGTCTTGCGTCTTCACTCAGACCGTGGTGGCGAGTTTGCCTCAGGTGTCCTTGGTCGCTTTTGTCGTGCGGAGGGCATCACCCAAACGTTCACCCTACCGGACTCCCCACAGCAGAATGGGGTCGCTGAGCGACGCATCGGTTTGGTCATGGAGGTGGCTCGCACCTCCATGCTCCATGCCGGTGCACCCCATTTTCTGTGGCCGTTCGCTGTGCGCTACGCTTCTCACCAGCTTAACTTGTGGCCGCACCCTCAGCAGCCGCAGGTTTCGCCGACCCGTCTTTGGACTGGGTCTCCTGGTGACGCGTCTGCGTTCCCCGTCTAGGGCTGCCTTGCTCACGTCCGTGCCTCCGGCACGGACAAGCTCACTGCCCGCACCCTTCCCTGCGTCTTCCTTGGTTTTCCCCTTGACGCGTCCGACTGGCACTTTTACCACCCGCCGTCTCACCGCTTCTTTCACTCTCGTGACGTCACCTTTGACGAGTCCGTCTCCTACTACCGCCGCTTTCCCCACCGTGGTCCTCCGGTTACCCCCCCCCTGTTCCTGGTCACTCCTTCCCCGGTAGTCCCTGCCCCTCCTCCTCCTCCTCCCCGTCCCGCCCCCTCTGGTGTGTCCCACGTCACCCCCCTTCCGTCCGTGGACCCGGTTGAGGAGTCTTCTGACTCTGGTGGCCCTCCTGTGCAGTCCTCGCCGGCCGCCCCTCCCCAGGCGTCCCCTCCCCAGTCCCCTCCTCCACCGCCACTACCGCTGCTGCAGCCGCCGCCGCCGCCGTCGCCGCCGCCGCCGCCGCCGTCGCCTCCGCCGCCGTCGCCGCCGCCGTCGCAGCCCCCGTTCGCTGACTCTGGGGGTGGTCCCTCTGGGGGTGCTGGTGTGGAGAGTGCCGGTGGTAGCCGCGGAGCAGCGTGCAGTCCAGGTGTCGCCGTTGTGCCGCCGCAGCAGCAGTCCCCGCCGGTGTCCGCCCTTCGCCTGCTCGGCCTTCCGTCCCCCGACCCTGCGTCGGTTCCTCCCCGACCGTCTCCTCCTCTTCCTGTCTACGGCCCTGTTTTTCCTCCGCCGGACTCGTCCCCGGCTCGTCTCCCCCCTCGTTCCCCTCCTGTGTCCCCTCCCCTGTCTCCTGACCCGACTCCTCCGTCGCACGTCTGGTCTCACCGCCCCTCCCGTGCTCGTCCTGCCT